TCGTTATGTGATCTCACATACCTTGTAGGGTCACCCCTTGACAAAATACACAAGCTAAACTTGACGATCTTGCTTGTCTTCTCCTTTCTCCTCTTTTCTTTTTTCTCTTAACCCGCATATTTGGTAAAAGCATAAACTGATCTAATTTTGATTAGACCCTAACTTAATATCCAAAAACAAATAAAATAATAGGGTATGAAAAATACCAAACTACCCTTCTAAAATCCGGATTAGACTTATTTTATTCGAACAACCCAACTTCCAAAGAGCATAGCTCAACAAACTCGGAATCGTGCAAAACATGGCGGCGTTGGAAATATTATACAAGATCCTTCCTACCATATTTGTATGTAACATAACTCATACTGAGGTAGAATTTATGGCTATTTAAATTTTTTGAAAACTCAACTTATTCAAACTTAATAAAATTTCCAGATTTTTGTTCATTACAAAAATGATTATTTCCAATTATCAGATTCTTCCTAGTTACTTCAATTTGTGAGATGTTACACCTTATATAATAACCATACAAGCCTAATAAACTCTATATATCTATAGCAGACAAAGGTCTAAGCCAATTCTTAAACATCTCTGTTTTCTTAGGATAAGCTTGAATACCTTTACCAAAGACAATATGGCCAAGGAGAGCAATAGAACTTAACCAAAACACATATTTACTAAAAATAAAATATAGTTACAATCCTTAGAGAGCTTGCAATAGAATCCTCAAATTCTCAACATGTTCATCCTCACTTTGTGAGTAAATCAAAATATCATCAAACAATACAATCACAAATATGTCAACATATTTCTCGAAGACACTATTTATCAAATCCATGAATACCATCGGGGAATTATTCAAACCAAAAGGTATCACCAAGAACTCATAATGACCATATTGTGTTCGAAAAGCCATCCTCTAAATGTCATTTTTCTTCACTCTCAATTGGTGATAACCCGACCAAAGGTCAATCTTGGAGAAGTAACTAAACCCCTGGAGTTGATCAACTATATCATGAATCCTTATTGTAGGATACTTATTCTATATGGCAACCTTATTCAATTGTTGATTGTCAATGCACATTGTAAGGAACCATCCTTCTTTCGAACAAATAATATCGGAGAACCCCATAGCGAGATACTCAGTCTAATGAATCTCTTATTCCAATAAGTCTTTCAAATGATCCTTTATTTCCTTAAGTTATGTTGGATCCATATGATAAGAAAGAATATATATATAGGATGTGGATATGGGATAAAGTAAATAGTGAAGTCTATTCCCTTTCAAAAAGAATACCGATACAATCATTGGGAAATACTTGTGGCAACTCATTTAAAATTTGAACTAACTCAAAAGTAGAGGTTAAGAATCCATAACCCTAACCCAAACAAGATGATAAATGCAACCACTAAAAATCATTTTCTAGTGTTTAGGCAAGATATGATTTAACGATTAACAACACAATTTCCCCTTTTCTATGACATGATAAGTTCATTCAAAAATTTGAATATTACCAACTAGATTCTACAATCTATGGAAGCATAATATGCAAGAAGCTAATACATCTAAGAATAACATCAAAATCTTGAATATTGCTCTAGGTAACGACATGAGTGACTCTATGAGAAACAAGAATATGACAATTTCTATAAACTCTCTTAGGAACAATAGAAACAATAATGGGAGTGGAGATAGAAAACGGATTAAAAAGGATTTTAGGACCAATATCAAATCTCATGGACACATGAGGAGTAACAGATGGTAATGTACCACCGGATCATGCAAAGAATATACATCAAAATGAAATACTTTTAATATATCAGTCACAACATTCGGAGAACCCTCGTGATCCTGTCGAGTCTAAAAAGTATAGAATCAATCAATTGTTACGAGGAGCACCTAAATTGGAACCACTAGGTTGAGATTGTCTTCCATACTTTCCCTTAGTAACAAGGTTTACAAATCTCTCATTTTGTGACCACTCTTCTCACAACTAAAGCAACCATCTATATCGGCTAAGTACTTCCCCAAGTGACTCTATCAACACCTTTGGCAAGCGGGAGTAGGAGATCCATTTACCACCACTTCTTTTAGGCTTGGGGTTTGACACCCTATCCTTGGTGAATTTATGGGCTAGAGAACTGGAAGAACCTTGGCTAGAATTTTTTTGTCCGAATTGGAGACAACCATGTTCACATGAACTAGAATGAGAAAAGTCACCATCACCAATCCTTGCCTTTTTTACTCCCTATACTTCTTCTTTAGATTTTTCTATTTGATTTGATGGGTGTGTGTCATCAAGCAGGACAAAACCATCTCATTAATCAACATGGCGGTATGACACTCTTTGAACACCATTTTAGACACACCTGACACAAACTTACTCATCCACGTTGTAGAGTCGGCAATTATACTTTGAGCATACTTTGCGAATTGAGTGAAATTTAAAGCGTAATCTTTCACACTCATATTTTCTTGTGTAAGATTAATGAACTCAAACACCTTTGCTTACTCATCTCAAAGGGAAAGAAATGATTGAGAAATACTCATTTGAATTTCTCATAATCAAGTGGACCCACGTCAATAGCCCTTTCTTCCTTTTATTATTAGAACCAAACTTAAGCAACAACCTTAAGTTGATAAGAAACCAATTTCGCCATTTCCACCATGAAAATCCCACAATATCTACCATCTTATAAACCAACCCTCCCATGATATCCACTATCTTATAAACATCATGAATGAACTATTGAGGATCCCCATCGAGTTTTAACATATACAATTCTAGTATATTCACCCTAGTGAAGTCCCTTGTACTCACATTTAGGTTTCATGGGACTAACAACTTCTCAATTAGCTTAGGTCGTGATAGCTTCAGGCAAGACTTTTAAAGTAGATCAAAACTCAACATGAGTCACTTGTTCAGCCAAAGGATCAACCATAATTTGAGAAACCTTGGGCTACACATTCTCACTCGAATTCCTTCTCATGTAAGCCATTTAGGTAGCCATTTCCTCAAAAGCATCGGATAAGAGTTAGGAAAAGGACCTTTATAGAGATAGACTCTATGACACAACTTTAGAGTAGTGAAAAAAGTGAATTTTACTAAAAACCTTGTAGCCACTATTCATAAATGTGACATATTTCACACTTATGAGCAAAACTCTACTTGACGCACCTTGTCAGACATGCTAGGACTTTTTCTAAGCTTTGTGCTCCAAATACCAAATTTTTCATGACATAAAGTATACCCTAGACGTCATGACATGGCATATAAGACCTCGAGAGGTCTTACACAAGTAAATTTACATATATTCAACAGAATAGACTATAAAAAGGATATATTTAAAATAATATAGGCATAAGTATGCATTAGTACACAAAAATGTACCAAGTATGAGGAAATGCATAAAATATGAACATGATATACATGACCAAGCTAAAACATGAGAAAAAATCCTGTAAGAAATTGTAAGTCATAAACAAGGTTAGTGCATACTTTAAACATAGTGAAAGCTTTCGTAAAACCCTTAGAATGTGACATAGTTTCTTTTATGGGATATTTACTGTTAACTGACACTAAGACCATGCAATATATAACATGGAATTTGATGTAACACTCCATTAAAAAAGGGGGTCCTAATAGCTAAGGTAATCTCCATAAGTTTTATTCATATGCTATTTGTGGATCCACCAGTTAAGTCACTTAGGACAATCTTACAAGGGTACGTAATTTGGTATATGGAGATTGATTCTAGAGAACTGACCGATAATAATGGGAGAGCCTCCATCTCAAAGCCCTCTCTGTACTAAGTAAAATTCCAACATATGAGACACATTCATAATTGTATTATCATACTTGAAAAAACACATTTGAACACCAATACAATCATAAGTCATCATAAAGTAGCTCTTTTAAAGCAAAATTCATACATATATGAGAAGACTTTTCACAAATCATGATTTCATAAATAAGTAAAAAAATCTTACACAATTTGTTGATACTTATATTGAAAACATCCTTAGTTCACAAAATATTTTTTCATAAATCATGTGTGGATTTTCTTAAAATCATAATTCATATCTTCATATGCTTTCTTCATAAATTCATCATCAAAATCATGAATGTTACATGGGTTCATATTAAAATCGGTTGAAAGCTATGCAGTTGAATCAAATCATGCAAAATAAGACTTAAATTGACAATTTAATTAATATCCTATAAAACACATGAAGGTTTCATGAACCCTAATCAAATGAAGTGATACTGAATTAAAGGCTTGAGAGTCTTTTGGGACCCATTGGTTGAATGAAATCCATTGGTAAATTCTCACATACCTTTGTAATCAAACCCTAGCAAAGCAAGAGACAAGATGAGACTTGAAGATTCGAACCCTAGATTTCTTCCTTGAACTTGAGAGAGAATTCAAGAGGATTAACTTGAATGTGAATTGGGGATTTGAGAGGATTAGAGGGATTGGTGTAACACCTTGGATTTGGAAGAGAAGGAAATGCAGTTGTATGTCTCTATGGATCCCATTTACGGACCGTAGATGTAAATCCTAGGAATTGGAAAAATAATTTTTTTGAATCAAGTCTTAGTACCCTTTTTATAGTACACAAGGGCGGTCGGTTATTCCACGTACGATTTGAAGATAGGTCTTGTAGGTCAACCCCAAACTTGGTGAAATTTAAAAGTTTAAAGTTTGTTCTACGATTTGTATACATGGTCTGTAACAAGACCTACGCACCGCACAGAGGATTTGTAAAAAAAATTGGCCAATTAAGAGTCTCTGGTCACTTTCTATGGTTGACCAATATGGTCCGTAGGAGGACCTTCGGACCCTAAATCCATACCGTAGATAGTGGTCGATAGTTATTTTGAAGGTTTTATTAGTCTTTTCCTAATCGACTAATGCACAAACTATGTCATTTTACCTTCTATCCTAAGACATATATAGCAACCTAACCATTTTTTAACTCATTCTCAAAATTCCAGTAAAACTAACTGAAGTCGTCCTATCCAAATTTGCTCAAGACTTATAAAGAAGAAGAACAAGAATAAAAAGAAGTAGGTTTCAACTACAACTCTCCAATCCTCCAATCTTTGTGGGTTTTTGACATCAAGGTATGATAGTATTCACCTATGGAGTCTTTTCCTCCATAGGATTCAAAAATTTTCCAATTTTACAAGTTAGAATCTCTAAATGAAATTAGAGTTTTAATCAATCTCATGGGTTCTTTTTAATTATGATCCAACTGATCATTTTCTATCATTTTATGCATGAATTGGAGTAATTATATGTTTTTAAATTAAATAACCATGAACCCATGCATGATCCATGATTTCTAGACTAGGATAATGTGATTTTAATTTATGAACTAAAAATTGATGAAACGATGCATGTTTTTCTATAAAATTGATGTGAATTATTTGAGGTTGCTTTGAGAGTAAAACATCGATGTTTTTGTTGTGAAATGATTTCTCGCATGCTATTCAAAACATGATTATGAAAGAGTATGGTTAAGGTTTTCTCATCTAAGTTGAATTATTATTAAGGAGTTATTCTAAATTAACTCTAGATTAGATTGGTCACTAATTATGCATTTCCATGAATAATAAGACAAGTTAATATTAATAATTATTATGTGGCATTTGTGTTTAGCACCGAGTGGACTAGCAGTGATTATCTCTTGTAACACCTATTTTTTGACATGTTTATTTTACTCATACAATATATAGTAATGTATTTTCGTATATTTTATTTGTATTTTTGATTTTTTTTCTTTGTTTGAATTATTTTTTTTCAATTGGCCCAAATGACCAAATTTTCATTGAATTGGGCTAATTTAAACCAAATTCTGATAACCCAATCAATTTTGATCCGGTCCAATAGAAATGTTCAAGATTGAATCTCAACCATTCATGATATTTTGATCCATGGTCTCTTATTTGACGTACCATAAAACACAAAAAATAACTCTCAAAAATCTGAATTTTGGCCTATGTTTATTTATTTTCTCTTCTCTCCCCTTTCTACTACCATTCCCACCGGCTGGCTAACACAATCGCCGCCACAGTTAGGGGAGGCAAGTACTATTTCATCAAAAAAATCTCCAAAAATCTACCATCCCTTCCTTTCACCCTCCTCTACAAAAAGTCGCAAATCATTCATCCTTATCCATATCCCAAATCCATAGATCTAAGAAAACCAAATATAGATCTTCACTTTTTCTTTAGATTTACAATGTTTAGATCAACCCAATTCCATACCCTTTACATATATGTGTAGAGCTCAAGGGCTAACGTTTGATATAAATTTTATGTCCAAAATCCATCAAAAAAAATTCCAGCGGAGTTTTTCGGCGACCCCCATTCACCCGAAGATTTATGTCAATCTTTTCCCCTCTTGTTATCTATCCAAATCCGTCATATCACATTTTTTAACTATATAAGTAGTTTTGGTGCCAGATTTGTATTGTGTTGTTATTGTTCTTTAAGTTTTATCATTTTTAAAATTTTTCTTGAATTTCGTTTGTTTTTTATTTTTATTTTCTACCTTATTTATTGTGTTTGATCTTCAAAATAGTTTAGATGTTTGGATTTTGTGTTAGTAACCTATTATTAACACAAAATCCAAACATCTAAACTATTTTGAAGATTAAACACAACAAATAAGGTAGAAAATAAAAAAAAAATAAAAACATAATTTAAAAAATAAAATTCAACAAAAAGTTTCAACATGATAAAACATAAAGAACACTAACAAAATAATACAAATCTAACACGAAAATGACTTATATGGTTAAAAATGTGATAATTTAAAATTTGGATAGAGGATGAGATGGGGGGGGATGACATGATTTTTCGGGTTAATGGGGTCACCGAAACTCTGTCGGAATTTTTTTTGAAGTATTTTGAACATAAAATTTATATCAAAGAAAAAAGTGAAGATTTATATTTTCTTTATCTTAGATATATGGATTTTGGATATGGATAAGAATGAATGATTTACAGATTTGTTTAGAGGGGGGTGAAAGGAAGATATGATAAATTTTTGAAGATTTTACCGATGAAATGGTGGCGGCGACCGGCCGGTGGGGATCGTGGTAGTAAGGGGATAGTAGAAACAAAAAAATAAGGACAAAATTCTGATTTTTGGGAGTTTACGTTTTATTTTTTGGTAGGGTTACATAATAGCCCTTGGATCAACATATCATGAATGGTTGAGATTCAATCTTGACCATTTCTATTGGATCGGGTCAAAATCGATAAGGGTATGAGAATTTTGTTTAAATCAATCAAATTCAATCAAAATTGGGTCATTTGGGACAATTGGAAAAAAATAATACAAACAAAGACAAAACCCAAAATACAAATAAATTATAGGAATATACATTACTATATATTGTAGTAGTAAAATAAACACGTCAAAAATTAGGTTTTCACACTCATGTCCTATAACAATGTGCCCCCATAGGTTTGTCTTAGATAGACATTAGCTAGTGGATCCACTTTAGCTCAAGCTTATGGTTTTTTCCTTGGCAAGTAAGGACATCTCTTTTTGGTGTGGAATAAACACTGGATGACATGTTATAGATCACATGGTCTATGCCCGTTGAAGGCAAACTTTCCACAATAATGAACTAAGGTTACTTTCTAAAGTATCTCGCATGTGTTTTATAAGTTCTTAAACTTGCACTAATAATTATATGACTTATGACTTCTAACATTTATAAGATGTTTAGCTTGCATTGATCATGATATGACTTATGAATTTTAACATGTTATTTTATGATTTAGTTTGGTCATTGCATGTCATGAAAAGTCCTTTTAGCATGACTTTATAACTCTTATGCATCCCTATCATACTAAGTACATTCCATCTACTAATGCATACTTGTGCAAACATTGTTTCACTAATGTAAGGTCACGGTCCTATTCTCCATACTCGTGGCTAGTTGATTATTTTAATTTTTAAAAATTGGTGAGTCCTCATGATCCCAGGGCAAAGATTCTTTTATCTCTTTCATGTCATTTTTATTTTGAGTCTTTGTATGTGATGTATGAATTATGCCCCAATCACTTTCATTATGATATAATATATGGCTTTGATACTATGTTTACACTTGCACTATTTTCAAACTCTTTTTATATAAAAGCTACTTTTAAACTTCTTTGTTTTATATTATCTTGTATGATATATGTTAAGTGGCTTGTGTAGGACCTTGAGGGGCATATATGTCATGTAACGCCTAGGGTTTACTTTAGGTCTTGACAGATAGGTAGGTTTAGGAGTGTAAAGGTAGTTATAGGTCTTAGAATGAGGATCAAAACAATGTAGTAAAGGCATTAAATGCATAGAACAAAAACCAAATACCCTTAAGAATTAACTATCAGAAATGATCTATCGTTGGGACTTACAATCCGTAGACCTTATATGTGTAAAGCCCCGAGCCTACACCCTAAGAGAAACTGGCACTCGATAACTATTGCTATCCCCAAACAAACCCTTGACCTGACTTACTTACTTAAAGGAAGACTTTAAACATAAAGAAAATGATTCAAATACTAAGTAACTCAACTGTCTCAAACTAAACTTATAATGTTTTAAAAATAAACATTTAACATAGCCAAAGTGGCAACTAAAATCTGAATATGAGCCAATAACAAGATAATGACGAATGAACTAACATATGACTGACTATCTATGAAGCATCTAAAACAACTGAGATGGATGTAATACTCTGGAAGTCTAAGACATGTTCTAAAGCCTAAAATAAGTGTCAAAAGGTTTAGACATTGTTTTAAAGTCAATTTTAAGGTTATAATTCATTTAGGAAGTTTAGGAATTAAAATGTCAAGGAACGTCCATGATGTCCGGAAACTAGTTCAATGAGGTGCTAGTGTGCCTTAGTTTATTTGACTAAGTTTTAGGAGTCGTAATATGAAGAATTTTGGTGGAAGGGTGTATGACACGTATTAGAGTTATTTCATAGTCGAAACTTTTGGGTAAGAATCCCCAAGGACCAACCAAGGGCCCTCGAGGAGGACCCCTGCAAAAGTGGCCAAAAGTTGTCAAGGGACTTTTCACCAACGAAGGCCATCGATGAGGCGTGGTCCAATCCACGGGGATTCAATGGAAACATAGAAAAAACCATGAGGTATGTATTGACAACTCTTTGACCAAATCGACGGACCAACAGGACGGTTGGTCTCTTGGTCGTCGATTGACAAACGGGGCATGGGTCGGGGATTCGTCGGTAAGGCATTGGTTTTGCTGCTCATTTCAAGTTGGTTAAATTAATTAATTAGGTGGTTAGTTAATTAGTTAGGGTTTAATGGAGGTCTAGTTAATTTTGTTAATGACCTATATACAGACCCTAACCTAATTAAACTAACCTAAGCACTCATATTTCCCAAAACCAAATAACTATTCATTCTCTCTTCCTTATCTCTCCCAAAGAAACCCATTGAAAACCAAGATATAGGTGGATTCTAGGGCTGATAAAGGTCAAGTTTCTCCATCAAACTTCATCAATCAATAAGGTATGGGATTCCTTTCACCTTTGGGATATCTTTCCCCAAAGGGCTCCTCCAAATTGATTTGAAAAAGTTGAATTCTAGATGGATTTTCTTCTATTACGAAATTGATCTTGTGAATTGCTTTGTTTATGATTTCTTTTGGATATTATGAGTATATTAACATGTATTATAACTTAATTATGTTATTTCTTGATGAATTGGTCTCAATTATAGAAGATGACCTTTTCCCCTTAACCGTAGGTTGTGATCTTTAATTGAATTGTATATTGTTGACTCAATTGGCTTGGTTAATGTGTGAATAACTATCCTATGTTGTTAGTATGACAATTATGAGTAGATTGTGATATTGCAATCCAATTATGCTAGTTCTTTTGATCTAAGCCCCTAATTCTAGGCTATGAACTAGTAATGGATTGTTGTGTAGTGATTCAATTGAATTCATTATTATGTTGATTACTATTGAGTGATGATATTACAACCATTGTTGGGTTGAATTAGAGGGTTGATGGTATGACCTTGATGATGACATTGTAAAGGAGATTGAGTAAGTCTTGTGATCTCTATTTTTTACTTCAATTATGGTTAATTGTGATTAAGTGATGGTGTTGTATTGAAGTATACCTTATATTAATATTGATAGGGTTGGTATGATATTGAATTGAAATGTCTTGAACTATTAATTGTGATTGCGAGATTATGCTTAAGACATATTGATATAAGGCTGGTGATGAAGTACCTATGTGCCTTACTATGATAAAATGATGTTAATGTGCTAATCTCACATGTGAGGGTTGTAATGAAAGGTGTTCTCATGCAATTCCTATAAGGTGTTCTCATGCAATTCCTATTGAGCTATTACTATGACTATATAAGGGGTAGACCCTATGACCTAATCTAAGATATGATTATTAATGAAACACATTTCAAAAAGGGACTCTAGCTTAGAACTAAGTGAACTAGTGTGAGGAGTGTTCCTTCCCACTTAGGGAAGGTAGGATCATTAATATACTCTTGAGATTGGAGACTACAATGCATGTAGCATAAAGAGGGTCCCAATTATATCTCCTAGTTCTTGAACTATGTTGCCCACATAGGAAAACTAGCTAGTGGATCCACGTAATTGCTATGTTCATGTTTTGGTACTACCTTGGCAAGTAGTCCGCCTTCCTTCTGTTTAGGTTTCCATGACACCGGATTCCATATTACCTCATGTGGTCTAGGTTGTTTAAGGCAAGATGTTCCCGAAAGTAAACTTAAGTAATAAAGTGGACTTTATCTAGGATGACTTGAGAGGTTTGACTTAGTCTAGGTTGGGGTATGGAACTCTACCTATACATTGCACTAGTTAGCCTTGAGGGATGTTTTAGAAGGATGCTCTTGTGTGTGTGTGTATATATATATATATATATATATATATATATACACACACACACACACACACACATACACACACACACACACATATATGTATATGCTTATAAATATAAATGACACGTATATGATGATCTTACATGTTGATGCTACTATATGACGTTGGCTTCACTTATGAACATGTATTTGGTCTATATTGTTGAACTATGATGAGTTTACTCTTAATGACATGTTATGTAAAGTTTGACATTGATTATGGTTCTTGTTAGGTTTACCTGATTGAGTAATGTTATAGGGTTTTGCTTAGTCATTGAACTAGTAGACTTAATGAGGGTTCATGAGTAATAGTCTTGCTTTGGTTATGTTATTGTGAACTCTTATTCGTGATTGTTGATATTATAACTTGATGATAGAGTTGTCTTGATTATGCGCTCAATTATGTTGATATGCATGTTGATTTGACTAGACTTAGTATTGTTGGTCTTGTGTTGCACATGGTCTTGACTTATATTATAGGTGCTTATTGACTTGTATTGGTTCTTCAATGTGCATAAGGCTTTCCAAAGTAAATAGCCTACTTTAAAGAAATGTCCCTTTGTAGCATGATTTTATATTGTTTGTGCATATGGTCTCATACTTAGTACAAGTTATGTGCTAACCCCATTTTCTCCGTTTCCCCAACATTTTATGTTCCAGTCATTGAAGGCTTTTGAGACAACTTTGAAGGAAAACTTGGAATCCTCATTCATCCAAGTTGGGTAGGTCCTCACTTTCCGAGGGCAATGTCACTATCAAGCTATCAATGTTGTTCTAGTCTTAAAGACAATATGTTCATTTCTTTCATTTGAGTGTTAAAGATTGTATAGCCTATATGTAGTTTTATTGTATTGATGTATGGGCTATGCTCGATTGTTATACTCTTGTTTAGATGCTTATGAGATTCCTATACGAAGGGTCTATGTTTAATTGATATGAATATATATTATGTGTATCGTAGAGGTCTATGTAAACCTTAAGATATATATACGAAAGTTTAAAAATTTTCTGCAGTTTAACCTATGAATGTAATGATGTAAGCTAAGAGGCTACTCTTAATCCTCAAAGAAGATGATGACGTCGATTACGTCTAGGGGGTGCTCCCCAGATGTGATAATAAATGTCTAGACAGGCCAACAACATCCTAATGAACTTACTAATGCTCAAGACAGTAAAAAAAGAGTTCTTCAGAATGCAAGGAGGCTCACCAACTGACTCTGGATTGCTCACTGGATCAACGATGCGCTGGATGTCGATCCTAGTTACCTGTGTATGCATCATAATAAGATGCAGACCAAATGACATCAATACATTGAATGTACGAGTATGCGAGGGGAATTCTAAAACAATACATAAGCTTGAAAGGAATTGAAGAACTAATCTGGCTCAACTCAACTCAACATAGCTGAACTCATTTCAATATAAAGTAGTTTAAAACTACTGTAATATAAATAAAAGTTACTTAAAACGTGATATCAACTCTATGTGTATGCAAAGATACATATAACTCTGAAATGTATGTAAAAATATAAATTAACTGTGTATATAAGAATATACTTACTTCTATTGGAGTTTCTTTATCCGAGAGTCATTACGTAAGAGCGATTTTGATGATACATCATTTTATCTCACACTGTCAGGGCCTTCCTATACCTTGTCGGGGGGTATAGAACCAGAACTACTAAGTGGATCCACTAGTCTATGCTAAAAATCACTAAAGCAATCATCTAAAAACTATGACCTTTTTCTACCCATGGTAGCTACATGGTTTATGAGGGTCATGAGTTGTTTGAACTCTCCTTCGGTTCTCAATACTACTCTCAAAATATGATACTAATTCTTATGTTTAAACAAACATATTTCTTTCTATGTGTTACCCGGAGAATGAACTCCGGAAAAGGTAGACTAGAAATTAGTATGAGAAAATATACTAAAGTAGTCAACATGAATGAACACATTCAATTCAACAAAAATAGATTTCTTTTTTTCTGATTCATTTTTTTCTTGGGACACGATACTCAAATCAAGATTCACTCAAGTCTATATTCTTGTAATTATGATCCAAGTGAAGAAAAGTAAGCCTATTTTTTCTAAACGGAGCCTGGATACTTCATTTATTTAGTCCAACCAAGCTAACTATAAGTTATTCTAATTGATATTAATAATATGAATCCCCTAAAAATGGATCTAACTGCACGTCACGCTCCAAATTTTTAATGGATCAATTTATCTTTCTTGGGAGAAACAAGGGATATCTCGATCGAGGGAGAGAACAGGGAGATACCATATGACCCAATATATCTGACAAGTCACACTATATGTAAATCTAAGATGAAATTGGATCTTCAGGATATTGGAATAGAACTTTTGGACCACCAATAGGCAGTAAACGAAAGAACGAATTAAATACTATATTTCACTTTGAGGTGGAAACGTAACAATTTTTAATCCATAGATTCTCAAAATTCATAAAGAAAGACAGAATGATTAAACTCAAATAATTACGAATAGGTTGAAATTTAACCAAGGTATATCTTTTTGTTCAGAGGTTGAATCTATCATAACCATAAGAATTAAGCCAAAAATTAGGATACATTCCGTTGAAGAGAACAAAATCAAAGGATTTCATAAAAATTCTCGTAAAATCGAGAATGAAGTTTTCATTTTGTACATGCCAGATCATGAATTAGTAACTGCTTCCAATTTCCAAAAAAAATGCCAATTGTGTAGAACTTTCCATTTTTGGAATAACTGAATCTCCATGAATAGGATCAAACCTTATTTGGTATTTACATGAGGTTCCTCTTTAAGAAAGTTCCCGAGAGGGTTGTTGATACGCTCAAACTTACTTCTCAAATAAAAAGTAAAGCGGTCGTGTCAAGTAAATAACCCAACTAATGAGGTCGGGATCGTTCCCACGAAGAAAATAGTTTAGACTTAACTTCAATCTATTATTACTATTGTTCAGTCAATTACTTCCTTGGAAAGAAAAAATGATAAAAAAGGGGGGGGGGGGTTTCTATTTTTAAATAAATGAAAATAACTAGCGAAATTAAAGGAGCCAACTAACAGCTTTGAATGTTGGAGTTTAATCAATTAATAAAAGTAACTAGGGTTTATGTGTTCCCCACAGGTTCATAATTGTATAATTCTAGCTATAACAATTCTTTCCTAGTATCTTTCATGCAAAGTGATAAGTTATGTATTTCTAAACCCTTGCTTCGGCATCTAGAAAATTTCACTCCGCGCCTTGGTCCGTCTACGTGTGTTGCTATACTAACCCTTATCTTTACCTCATATTAAGCATCGTATTCGATATTTGACTAAGTTATTATCTCGTACCAATCAATACTAGCCTATTAGAAAGTATACACTAAATCTATGTTGATAATTCTTTTCCTATTATCTACCTCCTTGGTCCGGCAAGTAGCATTAAGGTGAGTTCTAACGTTGTCCATCCGTTAAAAGGACTTCTAAGCGAAAGAATTATCAATATATGCAAGACACTATTATAGAATTGTTATTTTAGTTAGGTTTTACCTAACTATTTGCCTATCTTTCCCACAACCCTAGTTATGGAGTTTAGTTACTCATATTCATAATCACAATATTCAAATATATGATATAAGAATTCATGCACTTACTTCAATGAGAAAGAGTAAAATCAAGAAGTTCACTTGATTAATCAACCAAAATCACCAACAATCAATTGCTAAAATTAATTGAAGATTAAAGATTCTTCAAAAGTGTAATAGTAATCACCAAAAGTCTAACAAAGAGTCTAAAAATATTCAAGAGTCTAACAAAATAAATCAAAGTCTAAACTCAAAAATGAGGTTTTTCGAAATATTTATAAAAATAAAAACCTAATTAAATATGGACTCTATTTGCTAGAAATCTGTCAAAACGTTGATGGGTCGACGGACCTCGCGGCGGATCGTCATGGACTCCGTCGTCCCATACTTGTGCAATTTATTCTGCTTCTATCTCCATTACCCTCGACAGCAGGTATGAAGGATCGTCATAGGCACAACGGTCAGTCGGGGTTCTCCGTTCCAAAACACTTGAACTCTTGGAATTTGGGTACTGGGACTACTTCTCTGATGTTCATGAAGAACTAGCAGGACGGACCGTCATGGCTACGAAGGTCCGTCACGCTTTCCGTAACCCCACACTTGGTCAGACTTCCCCATCTTCCTTCAGCAGCTGCACTACGATGCCACCTACGGACCATCACAAGCATGACGGACTGTCACAAGCTCCGTAGATGGTACTTTTCTATATTTCTTGCTCAAAAACCTCTGCATTCATCTTTTAGACAGATTTCCTGCAAATAAAGAGAAACTTATATACAAATTAGCACAAAAAGGCTTTTGGACACACTAAACTTAAGGAAAAGTATTAATAATACCGTGAAACCACAGTATATCAACACCCTCAACTTAAATTCGTTGTTTGTCCTCAAGCGACGCACTATGACTCAATACAAAATCTTTGCACAATAGTATCCATGTTTTATCCTTCGCAATCATTTGGCTATCAATCCCGATCAATCTCATCATATTTATGCATGCTATCACTATTAGGCTTGAATTATGTGGAGTCAGACAATGACACAGACTCACAATGAACTAACACCTATCCTCTTCAATTTCTCATCGAGGTGCTAATATTTTCGGTACTGCATCTAGTGTCCTCACTTCAAAACAATATCCTCATTTTTCACACAATGATTTCAGTTTGAATATAGGGATTACTTTTCAACACTCACTCTCAGAACAAATTCACACTCATTCATACATATTGCCATAAGCTTGCCCCTTATTTTCACTGTTTTAAGTTCGCTATACAACTTTTAGGATCACGATAGGACTTTCTTAGCTTGTAACATAGGCTCAGGGTTAGGTAGGGTATATTTAGATATACTTTAGTGACTTTTTTGCCCTCCTTGACATATCGGCTAAACATACCATTTTCTATCATTTTATTTTGCCCAGTTTCTCATATTCTTTCACCTTGCTATTTTCCCTTTTTTCTTCATTTGTGTAAGTGAGTCTCTTCTTTTCTTGCTTGTATTTCTTGTATATATTTTTTTTCTTTACTTTTATTTCAACTAATTCTTGAGTCACTTTACTTTTGTTCTTTCTCTCTTTGTTCTTTAAACCCCACTTTACAGAGCATTCCCCATAATAGCCACCCTCAACACATGGCTTTGCTATGAGTCAAAGTACACAATACCCAAAGTTGGATCAGAGCCATAAAAAGGGTTGTTTACTACATTAGCCACCCTCAACTTATGTTTTTGGCATAAGCTGAGGCGCACATGTCCAATGAGGGACAAGGGACAACACATTATTCTCAGAAAAGATCAATTAGGGTGAAAAAGAAATCTCTAGTTTAAGCTCAAATCATTTGGATCAAAGAAGGATAAATTTCATTTGGTTTTCTTTTATTTAGGCTAAAAATCGGCTATATTGAATAAGGGCCTATGATCTTTTCCTCATTGTCTATTACAGATTACTTTTAGCAGGACTAACCAGGCAAGTTCTAGCTCAGTACAAATAGAAGACTATCCAAATCTTCCTTACACTCACTTGACATCTCATTACTCTACCAGATTATTAGACACCTAGTTCGAATTTTAGACTTAGGGTCATGCAGTGGTGTACCTCTATGTCATGCTTAGAGCCACACATTTATCAATTACAATGCCTAGTCATGCATATTTTAGCCATCATGCTTCAGAATTAAACTATGTACACAAGATATAGACATGCCGGTTCAACAGAAAAAGTAATCAGTCTCTTGGGGAAAAAGAACACAGGCAAGAAAACCCCAAAAGAGGATAGTGATTGGGCTACTCAGACTTCACCCTATCACTCACTTTCCATTTACCCCACCCCCAACAAAAAGACATGCAATTATCCCCAATGCATAAAAAAATTGATATACAAGAGTGGTAGGTGAAGCAAACCTGTGGCGCAAAGCGCCGACGATCAGCAAGTTGGTGGGTCTGGTTCCCCGGAACCCATTACCTCTGTAATATGGACACCCTCAGTAGTGTCGTCAGCATCAACAACACTATCAGCAGTGCCTCCCGCTATCTCCACATTTCTGGAGCTAGACGCCCCAGCAGCTAACTCTACTACTCTCATCTGACGCGCCTCCTCATCAGCAAGCAAGGCTCTCCTTGCAGACTCCATCTCATGGCGCTCCTTCTTCCATGCTCGAGCTTCATCCTCCTCTCGACCCCTTCACCTCTTGGCATGCTCTCGAGGGGGAGGTGGTCGAATCTTTGAAGTGGCAAATAGGGCCGCCATCACTGTGTCTTCACCAGGCTCTGCAGAAGGGGCCTCAGACTTAGGCACCCTAGCCTCTAAGATCATGTAGATGTTTGTGCGAAGACTGTGGACCGTAGCCTGAAGGATCGACACATCCACTTGACGGGCTGGTCGGGCTAACACCTGCAACTCAAAAGTGTCCAAGCGCTGATGAACCTCAGCAATCTTCCGCTCTGTGTGCTGGACCATTCTCTGCTCCAAGCGCTCTTCTGCCTCAGCAATAACTTA